GAAATATTCCTACATTTCAGTGTTGCGTCTTTGAGTTATGAAGGTTCAATCTTACAATATGCTAATGATAATGACGTCAAGGGAGGCTTCATTAGATATACGAACTTTGAAGGAGTCGCTTAAAAATGGTTTCATGGCATTAAATTTATCGTATGCAATGTAGGAAATAAGCATATTCCCAGATGGTGTTCATGAAAACATTTTTGAGCGACTGTTTCAAAGTTCGTATATCTAATGAAGCCTCCCTTGACGTCATTATCATTAACATATTGGAAGATTAAACCCTTCAAAACTCAAAGACGCAACACTGAAATGCAGAAATATTTCACCATTTAAATATTTACTTTATATAGGATCAGCTGGAAGAGTATCAGAAATTATTTTGTGTTTTTATTTTGCATCGTTTATYCAAATGACTTCGTTTTTTAACAAATTAATTTATGAACAAAAAATATCGAYACACCTTAACACCTTAACTCTTGTGTGCCAGTCTTGTTTGTGTCTAGGGCCTCAAATTAAACATGATGATTGTTCCCACAGTCGTACCAAATGCGTATTTCCATTTTCTTATAGCCYGTTTACTGACCAACCAAACGTTGTTTAATAAAACTAGTTTAATTAAAAATTTTGCGTTGACACTGTAAAATCGCGCGCGCTAAACATGGTTAAAACCTACGAGAGGTAAAGGCTGTGTAACCAAGATGGCGGCTGTCGAGAAGAAGAGGGGGTAAACATGGGAGCTCAGAGATGAAGGAAACGCTAGTATTACTTGACAAATGGGGCGATGAAAATATCCAGCAGCAGCTTAGGGACTGCAAACGCAAAAAMACCTATTTGGGTGGACATAAGTAAGCATTTAAAAGCCTCAGGCTACGAAGATAGAGAGTCTGACGGGTGTAAAACCCGCATCCATACACTCATTTAAGCATATAGATCTTACAAAGATCAAACTGGACGAACTGGCACTGCTAAACCGGAAAAAAACCYTGCATTCTTTGAAAAGCTAGACGACATCCTAAGTGAAAAACCAACGACACGACTCGCCGGTTCTCGTTCTCTAATCTTCAAATGTCCATCTTGATGTTGATGAAGGCGAAGCCGAAGTTGCAGATGCCCAATCAGCCGAATTGTCCCAAACCATCGTTAAAATCCTTGAGCGGGAAACTAGCTAAACTAAGATTTGATCGCGATGTAATGTTCGMGGTCGAGATACTTTATAAAACGCATTTGGGACTATTCGGCTCATTATATAAACACGAAGCACAGGAACTATGTCTTTTTTAGAATTTGCGTGCATGAAATATTACGTTTTGGTATCCCTATGACTTTTATGTATGCAAGCAAAGCCCAAGTGAGATTGCATAGTGATTCAAAGCCACAATCAGCTACCTCAAATACTATACCTTACCTTTCTGTACTTGACTTGATTGCATAGAAACAAATGTTGTTGTTGCGGAAATCAAAGGAAACTGGCACACATACGACATACTGTAATCACTAGGAATCGAATCTTTTACAGAAAACGTTGTCGCGTTATGATCCCCAAACAAAGAAGACAACTTCATGGCACACGTTATTGGCGGCTTGGAAACACCCTCCACCAACATCACAATAATGTTGTGCGCGAACAAAAACCAAAATATTACGCGGAACATCTCAGAAGCTTAACAATTCTATCTTTATAGAAGAGGAAAATAATAAAACGCCTTTGGATTTGGCTGTCGAAAAATCAATGCAAAATATTATTTGCGCATTTGCCTCGATACAATTCCCGGAAAAGCTGCATACATTAGAATAAATTACGTTTGTTTTATTGACCCCTGGGTAAGCCTCCTTTGTAGAAAAGAGCGTCTGAGTAATTTATAAAATACACAAATATTTACAAAATATACAAAATATTTACAGACGCTCACCCTCGGGTGAATAAAAAAATGTCCAGAACAATAAGTGTAATTTATTCTAACGTATGCAGCTCTTCCGCGAATTGTATCACACGCAAATAATATTTTGCGCTGATTCTTCGACAGATGTCTACAAATCCAAAGGCGTTTTATTCTTTTCCACTTCTATTAAGATAGAATTGTTAAGCTTTTGAGATGTACCGTGTGATATTTTGCTTTTTGTTCGCGCACAACTTTGTGATGTTGTTGGTGGAGAGTGTTTCTAAGCAGCCAGCAACATGTGAGTTGTCTTCTTTGTTTGGGGATAAAAACGCGATAACATTTTCTGTAAAAGATGAGATTCCTGGCAGTTACAGTACGTCGTATGTGTGCCAGTTTCCTCTGCTTTCTGCACGAGCAACATTTGTATCCATGCAATCAAGTCAAGTACAGAGAGGTAAGCCTGTAGTATTTGAGGTAGCTGGCGGTGGCTTTGACTCACTTGAATTTTGCGCGCACATTTGGAAGTCATTGGGATGAAATCTTATGTTTCACGCATGAAAATTCTAAAAAGATAGAGTCTTCTTATGCTTCGTGACGATGTTATCGGCCGAAACGTCGCAATCGACTCAAAAAATGTTTTTTCATCGTTAAACCCTTGAGCGGGAAAGCGAAGTTATACTAGGACCATGAAAATACGTGTTTGGTACGATTGCAACAATCATATGAACACTAGGCATAAAAGGGCGTTAATTTCATGGTTAATTTGAGGCCCTAGACACATTAATTAGTGGAGCAAAAGATTATTTTAAGCAATCTTTGTACATTATAAAAAAAGTTGTTTTCTCAGTTTGTGTTCCAGGGGCTTGTTGATGTACGAAAGGTTGATAAAGTTCCCGGGGGGGACTCCCTTATAAAAGTTGGTAGGTATGCTCGACGGAAAGATTGAAAAATGACCCTAAAAGGTACGCATAAATTGATTCAGGTACGCGATTCCGCGATACCCTAACATTTAACAATTTTTTTTAAATTCAAAATTAATAAACATACACTAATTTTATCAAATACACTCGCTTTCCGATGCATTCCCGAAAATCAGTGTCGATAGATTTCTTTATAACACTTCTTCAATTTTTTTTCGATGTTCGAAAATTGACCCTAAAAGGTAGGGAGTCAGCTCAAGACCCTAAAAGTTACGCGAGGGTTTTATTTTCGACCCTAAACGGTCCGTCGAGCATACCTACCAACTTTTATAAGGGAGTCCCCCCGGGATAAAGTTATACACTCCATAGATTATGTATCGATTTTACCGAGTTATAAAAGGGTTTCTCCTATATAGATTATTCACTCTTCGCTAAAGAGGCCTCACATCATGTAACCGTGGAAATATTCGGCTTTTATTCAGCATCTCGACCTCGAGCTAGCTCGTGCTAAGGCGATCCGACTGGGTAGAGCAGATTTCGTTTCAAAGCAAAGCATGCATGGATCACTGCACGTTCACCGAAAATTGCCCAGTCAAATCGCCTTATTTATGGTGAAAATCAAAGTTTTTGTGAAAATTAAAGTGTTTTAAAAAAACCTTATTTATCTGTTATAGGCTCTCTACAYGCAGTTGTTTACGATTCTAATTTAAAATCAATTGG